CAATTCCTTACCAACATAATCAATGAGATGTCATTGGTTTACGACGACTCTTGTCGGGAGAAATCATAACCTGCAAGTAGCATACATACAGTAGTTTAGTACCAAAATTATAGAAAACTCATTTCTCTAATTTCGGCCACGGTAGCCGAGTGGTTAGCAATGCGTACATACATTCGGACGGCTCGGGTTTATATCCCGGTGCCACCAACATCCAAAATTTATTGACAATTAATTAAAAAAAAAAATTAAGTTAAATGTTCTAATTGCAGTTGCCCCTCGGCAGGGAACGTCCACTCCTCCTCGTAAAAAAACCATCAGCCGTTCGGAGGCGGCTTAGTATAAACTGTAGGTCCCTCCATTTGTTGGAAAGCATCAAGATGCAAAACCACAAATTGGAGGAGGAGCTCGGCCGAAAAATCGCTTCAGCGGTTACCAAACGCCAATTGTATATATAGTAAAATTAAGTGAAAGATCCAAAAATATTTCCGTCTTGTAGGGTAATATATTGCAAAAGAAAAATATATATATTTTTATTTCCACCCCTTCGTTGTTATTCGGCCAACATAAAAACACTCGCTCGTAAGTGTCAAAATCTGCTTTATTCTACTTTATTTCTTGTCAATAAATTGTATGCAGTTCTTACTGTGAGATCACATAACAGTCATGGTTTTTATATTCTAAATTAATAATTGTCATCCATCCACCTAAATCAGGAATTTTAATCTTAAATTTTAAGCCTGGATGACTGGTTTTTCAAGCAAGTAAATATAATTAATAAACAAAACTGAAAAGAAAAAATGTTAATAAATAACTCAGTGCGAAAATGAAAAAACGAATAATTCACAGAAATTTACTGCCGCCTACAAACTTGTCCCCACACATACATACATGCATACTTACATGTATGTGCCTACGAGTATACCTTAAAATGCTAACACATTTATGCATATTTGTGTGAATCGCTGCTCTCGGCAAAGAAAGCTGGTTTGCAATTTTCACTCTTGATTGTTTTTGCTAGCCTTACTTTTGTTTGGTTGTTGTTATTTTTTTTTTAATTATATTAAATTTTAAATTTTTAGTTGTGTATGTATGTATGTAGCCTTTTGTTGTTTTGCCTGTGTTGGGAATTTGCCAGCTTCACTGAAGTTCGTCGTCTGTTTTGCGCTTTTTACCTTCGTACTCGATTGGCCACGTATGTGTGCATATGTATGTATGTGCATACGTACATACATTCAATATTTTTTTACGGCTTTTTGCTTTTGTATGAACGGTGATATCATTTTCGAGTTTTAGTGCTTTAATCGAGTGTTTGTCTACGCAATAAAAAAAAACGAATAAAATACAAATAAATTGCAAAATCATTTATAAACAACTTCATAGAATATTTTTCAAGTTTAATTGATGTAAACAAGTATCTGTGTCATACACCTACAAACGCTTATGGTTTTCGCCATAACAACATAAATACGATTATAATCAAATTATTCATCAACAAAATATTGTACTTTTTTTATTATATATATACACATACCTATGTACGTACAAACATACGTGTGCGCTCATTTACTTACTGACTTTTACTCACACTCATTTTTTTACACTCTCGTTTGTAAATAAACTAATTTGTTTACCTTGGCAATATACAGCTTTTTAATGCCAGCCAAGTCTGGCGGGTACGTACACATATACATATATATGCATATTATATATTCTCATTAAAACTATACATTTTATTATTTGTTGCGGCGATTATGAAGTGCAGTTATCAGTGACCTGTTAAATTTATAAATAAATGAATACATCATCACTGAATTGTTCGTTATCGGCAATGAAGCATAATACATACATACGTATATGTATAAATTCGCATATATATGTATGTACGTAAATTCATAAATTCGCCTGGCTCGCTTTTGTAACAGCTGATTAGCTCAGGCTTTACCGGTCCAACAACAACTCAGAAGTGTTTGCTTTGGAATTTGACTTCTTTTGTTTGACAGCTGATAGCTTTCGTTTATATGTATGTATATACATAAAAAGAGTTGAATGAATTTCGATAATGATTCGTTTTTTCAATATCGGAATGCATAATTTAAAGTACAAAACTGCGCACTTGATTACCCAATAGGAACTCCCAAAGTGTTGTTATTACACCTGACCAATGCCGCCTTATCGGATTTTGGCAGAAGTCTACTCCTCTGCAACATAAAGTGGGAGGGGAATATAAACAAAATGTTGAGTTTGGACTTTGTTTTTCAAGGAAGAACTTTACTTTTCAATTGCCTACTCACTGCAAAGTAGTATCAGTTCTCAGGAGTGATTCTGCGTGGGATTTCAAAGCTGACATTATTTTTGGTGTTGATGCTGGTTCATAGATAGACGAAATTATCTACGACGAAATTATCTACGAAAATTATGACTGTTAACAGTGACGTTGGAGCCAAGGTGCGATTGCGATGACTGTTTGTTTGACATCAGGTAATATTCGGTCTCTTTCACTACCAGACCCATTCATCTCGGCTCCTTATCCAATCTGGACAACGAATAAGTAGCGTCGTATTGGTTGAGGTTGGTATCAGTATCATCGGGATATATCAGCAGTTGCGCACTTTTACAAGGGTTGCTTTTTAAATTTCAGGATTGCTTTATTGGTTTTCAAAAATATATTCTTCATTAAGGCCTTTACAATATTGCATGCCTTAAAACCAGTTGTCGAAGCACTTTTGCCACTCTGATTGTGGTACCTCCAAAACAAACGTTCTGAAGGCATCAACCCTCTCTTCAGGTTTGCAGAAACTTTGACCTGCCAGTTTATATTTTACGTAAGGGAAAAAGGAGGTAATTCGGTGCCAAATCAAGGCTATAAGGTGGATGACTCATCAAATTGATGTTTTGAGTGCTTCAAAATGCAGTTATTTCAGTTGATGTGTGAGATCCGGTCTTGCCATGGTGAAGAGTGATCCGTCTTCGGCGGTTGTTTTCTTTGATTTAGTGAAAAACGACTGGCATCAAAATGTTGGTCACCACTCGGAATTAACGCTTTTTCGTTGCTCTAGTTGTGACATCTCCAGCTTTTTCGGCTCATCTTTAAACAGCCATAGGGTCGACTGTTTCAAAGCTACACTATCATATTATTTAAATTTCCCTCGACCTATCGACACACACATTTTCTTATAGCGGTTTTTTCAAAAGAGACTTTTTTTCAAAAGTAAATAAATTTTTTAATCGTAAAATATTCAATATATTCTGGTTCTACTAATGTCTATAGTTGCCTCAATCGGACGATAGGTCACATGAAGATCTTGTACAGCACAAACCGTTGCGCCGGAATTTCGAAAAAATCCCACCTGGAGTGATCTACGTCCTCGACTGAATTAACTATACGATCAAATATGTAAGACAGCCCTCGTATAAAAGATTTAAATCTAGATGTGAACAGAAAACTCCCCTCAATTTTAAATTTTTCCGTCCACGCCGGAAATGAACTGAATGTAATTTTATCTGACGTGTTAACCTAAAAAATGTGTTCAACAAAATATTCTTAATCCAGATTTTTGACTACATACATTTGTTTACATAAAACACGTCGCTAGGGAGCACACTTTGGATGAAATCAACAGAGGTCAACTATCTTTCTCAATTAGCTGATTTCTAAATTCAGCTAACTAGAAGATATTTTGTGGATATCATTGGCTATTTAACACTCAAACAAAGAAGTTTATATCATGAACTAAATTCCTCAAATATTCCAAAACAGAAGTGAGAGAGATGTGACAGGCACTAATAAATTCCTCTACGAAAAATTATTTCAATGTCAAATGGAATCGCCGTTGAGAGAGCAATCAGTAAATATGTGCCATATATATATTTATTGGCGTTTGGAAATATATAATAATTATACGAAAATATATATCAAACTGTCTATGCAAAACTGTTGGGAAGATAAGAAATCACTTTCAAAACCAAAAAAAACTGACTTAATTTCTTGCTTTGCATATTATCCGCTAGAACTACTTACGTGGTATTGCAGTTAAATATTAACTACTATTTACAAGAGTAACTTTAAAGCAAATCAAATATTTTTACTTCCAATTTTGAATTTCCATCCCCCTTAAGATACATTTATCTTTTAATCTGTTATTGTAAGTAATCATAATTCCAATCACGTTCTAGAACTGTAACATTGTTCCGCACACGTACAAGTATACATACATACATGGCTATCGATTGAGTGTCGATCGGCGCCTTAAGTGCATCCATTAAATTTTTTATTATTTTCATCATTATTATTATTTTTTCAATTAAACCGAGCAGGGGCGTCAGTCGTAGTGTTGTTTGTGCCGGCGGCGGTGTTGGTGATGCAACCGGTGCATAACCATATATGGAGCTCCAAAACTTGGCGTCAGTAAAACTTTAATAAAGCATGCATATACGAGACTGATATTTTATACTCAGCGTAGATGCGCGTGGGATTCCTTACATCCTATAATTTTACTTTCATTGACTATTTTGGGAAATTTATTTCAGATGAATATCTGACTGTAGGAGGAAGTAAAGGGTAGCATTTAATTATTTAATAAGAATAATTATGATATTATTTATGGCTGTTTAGATGACTTCGAATATTTTGTTAGTAGCAACTGATGATAAGAAATAATAAAAATTGGTATACAAATAATAATAATATTAATAATACAATAGATTACAACCAAAGAAAATAAAATAAAATAAAATAAAATAAAATAAAAAAAAATAAAATAAGATAAAATAAAATAAAATAAAATAAAATAAAATAAAATAAAATAAAATAAAATAAAATAAAATAAAATAAAATAAAATAAAATAAAATAAGATAAAATAATATATATTAAAAAATTCAAAAAGTTACACTTACATAATTGTTGGTTCTTATACCTGTTTCACTTTGTATTATTACTTTATTTTGTTTCGCTTACTCTTTATCTAATTTCTTGAATATATTTGTTTCTTCCATTTTGTAGTGGCAGCAAACCGCGGATATTGATTATAAAAAAGAAATCCGTTCACATTTATATAAACTACGTGAATCGCGTTTACGTGACTTATATCAAGGCGAAATAATGGCTGGCAATTACGCTAAAGATCCTTTGAACCCATCCCACGGTGATTCTTTGGTAGGTCAAAACTTTCAGGGTTTAAAATCCCAAGAAGTGCGCGATTCAATGGCCCCCATAAATGATTTAAAGTTCCATTCAATGACTCTGAATCATCCCAATACTACCGGTTGGGATGTGCAAACTTCGTCAGAGGTAAGTCCTGACGGACGCGCCTATCGCACTGAAACCTTGGCCACCACAGATGGTAAGTGTTTATTTTTTATTTTCCAGTAGAAATTTGTTTGCAAATGTATACATTTCTGCGTTATTCCGCAACATTACGTCAATTTTTAAATTGGCAACTCATCATTCACTGCTAAAAATAACAAATCCAATAAGAATTTGTATACGTAGTTAGGAAAAATATATGCAAATCTATGCTACTAAATATAATTGCATGCTTACAGGCGTTGAAAAGATCAACGGAGGCACTGCCGAGTTTCGTGGACGTAACGAGCAGCGTGCCAGTGCTTCCCATCAAGGTGACGATAAGAATTTCGTAAAGAAGGCATCGGAAAGCTCAAATACTCATTTGCAAGAGCATGTCGTGGTTGGCGATGAAAATTCCGGTCGCAGCGAAATGAAGATGAGTTCGACCACCACATCGTCCTCATCTCAAGTGACCTCGTCATCTTCGACTGTTGAATATGGTGGCGCGGAGCCGTTGGAGGGTAGATATATTACCGATAATACCAACCAGCATCACCAACGTCTTACGCAAGAACAATACAATCAGCAACAGCAGCAGCTGCAACGTCAGCAACAGTTGCAGCAGCAGGAATTCGAACAAACTAAGCAATATCAGCAACAACAACATCAGCAACGCGTGCAACAGCAAACAGAAATTAATAGTAATCGCCAAGAATCCACCACCAGCCGCAACGTGGAGACTCAACAGACGAGGGAGCAGAGTCGTCGTGTTGTTGATATGGATAAGGCATCGCCTGAATATCAGCAACATGTGCAATATCTCATGCAACAACCCGGCGAGGTGATATCAAACACGGTTGAATATCCCAAGCCGAATGTTAAGATGATCACCACCGTTAAGCGTTTGCCTGACGGCACCATCGTGAAGAATAAGCGGTACGAAACGGAAGAGTTAAGTCCAACAGTGGAGAGCCAACGCCAACGTACGACATCTACAACGAGCCAGAGCAGCACTCAACAAAGAAACGAACAACAGCGACGTCAACAGACCGAGGAAAATGTCTACAATCGTCAACAAAATGTGCGCAACAACGTCCATGACAGCAATGCTCCCAGGCGACCGGAACACGATGTCGTCGATAATGCTGAGCCATTCACACGTGCTCCCAGCCAACAGCAGTTGGTGCAATCCTATCCCAATGAAAATTTTACTGATGAGGCCACCAATATCGAAACGAAATTCTCATCTGTTAAGAAATCAAATCGTCGTTTCTCCACTGAAACAACATCTGAGACTATTGAAGAGTTCACAGATCAACCGCACTCAACACATGCGCCCGGTATTAAAGGCAAGCCATCGCCCAGCAAAGATTTCTCCACACATGGTTTTCCTTCTGTGAAGCCCAACAAGCCGACTCAAGAATATCCCACTGAGCGGCCCCATGGTGCTGCTCAGCCTGATTTCAGTACTCATGGGTTTCCCTCAGTGAGGCCAAATAAACCAACACAGGAATATCCAAGCGATCGTCCTCGCCCTACTGATGTTGAGTACATTAATCAACGTACTGTAGTGGACTCATATAAAGCCAGTCCAGTTGACGCGCCACATGGGTTTCCAGCCGTAAGACCAAACACAAATTTAACAACAACTAAAGATGGCGATGTCATTATTGTAAGTTCGGAATCGACGCGCAGCTCAAAATATAAGACCAACGCTGAGCGTGTTATCGAAACTGAAGTGGTAATTGATGGCGACTCCAGCGGTCGGACTCAAAAGCTTACACAACCTGAAAACTTTCCTAACCGTGGGTTTCCCGCTATGAGAGATACACCAGCAGGCAATAGAGATTCCCCCAGACATGGCGTACCTGCCAGGGATTACCCAAGTAATGTACCAGATTACTCAACAAATGGTTTTCCATCTACCAGAGATGTGGTGCGACCAAATTCCGCCCAACCTATAACTACCAGAAGTGTCGATCAAGATGGCAACATCGTCACAGTGGTGAGTTCTGAAACAAAGAAAACTATAAAGCATAATACGAACCGGGAGCACATTATCGAAACAGAAGTTGTAGGTGATAATGAGCACTATACTCCGTCGGGCCTACGACAACCAGATAAAATTACATTTCCACCTACGCCCCAACCAGGAGATTTCGGTACACATGGTTTTCCATCTGTAAGAGACTCGGCGCCCACAAACGATTACCGACGTCAAGGCACACCAACTCGAGACTATCCAAGCAGTCCACGTAAACCACAACCAACCGAAGATTTCTCCACGCATGGCTTTCCTTCGGTAAGAGACTCGGCACCAGTCAGAGGTGGCACACCGTCACGGGACTACCCTAGTAGCCCTCGTCAGCAACAGCCAAGGGAAGATTTTACCACACACGGTTTCCCATCTGTACGAACACCCAATAAATCTGGACCGGATTACTCAAGCCCAAGTGGAGGCTATCCTTCAACCAAGGATACTAGTGCGCCCAAATTGACGCCAACCCCACCAAGAGTACCGCAACCGAGCTCCACGGCTACACGCAAATCAACAACCACAACAACGGACTCTTCACAACGCCTGATTTCCAAGGAGCGAGATGTCGATGCAACACATCGTGCCTTTGCTGCTTCCCTAAGGAGCTCTTCGCCAGCGGATAGCACCGATCATCATCATCGCACCACACCACGCTCCAGTGTGTCATCGACTAGAACTTTCAGACGTGATGGCCGCGAAGGATCACATGACAGCGAAACGAGCCGCTTCAGTTCGGGCACAGTTACGCGTTCTTCGCCAAGTAAGAGTGTTGGTAAAACTGTCGTTACAAAGCAAACTGTTGTTAAAACACGTAACGTGAATGGTTCTAACGAAACAATTGATTTAACACCCCAGCAGCGCCCCACTAAATCGCCATCGCCTACCAAGACCATAACGACGACCACCACACGCACCACAACAACAGCAGCAACACCCAGAAAGAGTCCAGCCGGCGATGTGCCAAAATCAGGTACGAAGTAAAATATAGAATGCACATTACAACTAAATGGCAGTCTATCCTTCAGATAATCAAACAAAATCTAAGCCAGCCGCAAACACATTTCCTACTATTATTAACGAACCACTAACCATCACAAAAACCCACTTTACCGCAAATGACGCCAGCTTCCTCGGAAACGAGGTGGTCGAGGAGCCATGCTTAAAAAAACACTTTTACAAACTTGGTCCGTCCGACAAAGCAACAACAAATCATGCTGACGGTAAGAAGATATAAAAAAACATTCCAAATTTTGCTTGTCAAAACGAAGCCAAACAGAAATACGCATAAAAAAATGAATAAATAAAAAATTTCGAAAATCAAAATATTGCACAACAACACAAATCTTTAAACACTATTTTCTAAATCTAAAAAAAAAAAAATATTCTTAAAATAAGAAATTGTACTTACCAATAAACCAACCACACAAACATACATACACGTACCAAAGGCCATGATCTGATGAAACAAAATTTTCAAAAATCAAACAAATTTTTCGAAGACAACATTGATACTGAAACAAAAATACAGTTACCGAGGAAAGCACGAAAACAAAAAACAAAAAACCAAAAACTGCAAAGAGACAGAAAGATGCTTTCAGAAGCTCCTCAGGCTAATGCGACTTAAGCGACTATTCATATATGTAGCATATGTATGTATAAGTAAAAGTTGCATGGTAAGCTTTAATTAACACCATCAGCTAAAAGTATTGGTACTCACATATGTAAATACATACATAAATACATATATACAATAATATATTTAACCAACAAATAACATAACCGTAAAGTAGTTTGGACTAATCAAATGTAATCGTATCGTATTATGTATCACCACTGACCGAGTGATTAATGCTTCATTCGCTGTAATTTTCAATATCAACAGAGAGGTCACCATATTCACCAACAGCACCCAGTAATCATTCACATCGCACTCATCCCAAAACTAAATCACCAGTACGGGATGATTTCGATGATGTTAACCACGAAGAGCCCATCCATAAACAACCACTAAGTTCATCAGTAATCGAACCTAAACAACGTAATCGTTTACCAACCGGACCCAGTCCGACCGGTAGTAGACCGCAAACCATTTGTCAACCAAACTCGAAAGAACCCAGTGTTGAGCGTAGGACTGTTGTGAGAGAAAGTGAATTCGAAAATACTGATTGGCAAAATACAATTTTAAATACAAATGAAAAACCATATCCTGTGAAGAGTGATTTACCGACACGGCATGAAAACGAACCACGAACTGATGATGAGTACATTGACGAGTGCACCCTTGGAGGAGAAACACCAATTGATACCTCGGATTATCCCGTAATAAGAGAAGATACAAAGAGACGACCAACTCGCATAAATAAAACAGAGACCACAACAATTGAGAGCAAGCGAAAGGAAAAATTACGTACAAATGAAGAAATTGAGTTAAGCGAGGAATGCGTTACAATAAAACCACAAAGCAAAGAACCCACAGAGCGAGCAGGCAAAAAGCCAACTTCCAGGCAACCGTCAGAAACTGTAGGTAAAAGACCACAAGCAGAACCTGTTAATAGAAGACCCACTGAGGCAGAACCAACTGGTCGTACTCGTGCTATCAAGAAACCAGTAGACAGTTCACCTAGTCCAACGAGAAAAATACCTGATACCACGAGTTCAAAGATAACGTCAACAACTACAATAATGAAAACGACACGCAAAGACAGCACGCGTATGACCGATGATGACAAGCAACCAAAAGAAACTGCACCCAAAAAGCCAACGGATAGGAAACCTAGTGATACAGGAAAAGTACCGATTCACTCTGAAAGTAGCCCGACCAGAAAACCTACTGGTACATTTACAACCGTGCGCAAAGTGGATATTCAGAAACAGCCTGCGGGTCGAAAGCCCACACGTGAATACCCCACAGAGCCCAACAATAAAGTCACAAAAAATGAGAGTCCAGAGCGTAGTCCGACACGTCGAACAACCGAAAGAGCGCAAATAATTACAAAACAAGACACACGCAAAGTTGACTCATATTCCGTGGAAGATTACGAACAGTCGGAGGAGCCGGAGTTGGATGATGTGACGTATACAACTCGTACAACGATTAAAACGGTAACACGCGAGGGAAACGCTTCACCATCTGCAACGTATAAACAACCTAAAGATAGCAACAAGAGGCCACTGGAGGAAAGACCGATAAAACCTTGCGAAAAGCAGTCACCATTTTCTAAAAGTGAAATACCCATACCAAGCGATGAGGAGTCTACGCCGACTGGTGGAACTCCTGAAAGTAAAGTGGTATCAGAGAAAACCACGGAATCCATGGACATAAAAAGTAAGAAAACACAGCTTACAACAACAACTGTGAAGAATATCCCGAATGAAAAATACCAGCCGGGGCCGAAAAGTAAGCCTTCGAAGCCAGAATATAGTGACATGGACGATGAGCAGGGTACTTTGCAAACCATCGAGAAAATAACTATCGAAACAAACCGTACTAAGAAGCCGCACCCCAATATTGATTATGATGTTTACGTTTATGAGAACGGAAAACAACCTGAGGATGAACTCGTCCCAAATGAGCCACTCAAGAGCGAACCGTCAGCGCGAGAAAGCAATGGAAAACCAAAACAGTCTTTCAAAACGATCGATTCTCAGGTAGAGCAGGAATCCTCTGACACTGAAAATGTGCGAACTTCATTTTTAACCACTCAAATCAATAAGATAGTTACCGATGAAACGGAACCAATTCAATTGACACACCGTACGACTTATGACGAAAATAAGAGAGTTAAAGAACTTTTCAGTGAGGTCGATGATACGAATATAACAAAGAATGTAAACGAAGAGTTCATAACCTTCGAACGAGAAGTGCGAGATCGAGATGCACCTACGGAAAACTCCTTTAGAACGACAACGTCACAACCAGAGCATTCCGAACCGATTACAAAACGAATGAAACCATTAGGCGATCGCAAAACGCAACCGCCACAAGATCTTGAGCCAAGTCGACCATTTGAGCGGGAACCCAAATCGAAACCGGCAGATAAGCAGCCACTATCCGTGCATACAGGTGACAATGAGACAACGTTTACGGACTTAAATACCTTGAAAACCACTTCAGTTACAACTACGGTGAAGAGAGATGAACAAGAGAGACCTTATGCACCTGAACAACCACGTGAAACGAAACAGTCGAAAGTTCAGGAACCAAAAGAGCTAGAACCGTCTGGGGTCGATTTAGGTGACACTGAAGAGGACTCAGTGGAATTGTTTGGAACCACTACAACGATTATAACAAAGAAAACAACTCGTAAAGACGATTTGCTGACTACCGTCGATGATGAAGAGCGTGATAATGGGGTACCTGACAAAAAGAAACCTGATGATGAGAAGCCAAGTGATAGTGGACCGAACAAACAGAAACCTTTGAAAACTTATTTCGATAAAACTAAACCAAACGACACTGAACGCAAGCCCTCTCCTACAGGTAAAACCTTGGAAACTATTACTATTACCACTAGTACCGTAAATATGGTTGGTGAAAAGCCGTACCCTGAAGATATTCAGCAGCCGAGTGAGCCTTTTGATAAACTTACAGAAAAAAATCTCACTTCGGATGAGACAAAACGAGTGGAAGAACTTTTCAAAACTACTACTAAATCTAAATACATAGAAGATCACAATGAAGAATTTATAGCTAAGGAAAGACGAACGAAGGAAACTCCAGATGGTGCCTTCATATCGAAAGCTCCTGAGCCTGAACCAAGCTCACCGAGTTTCAGGAAGAAAGGTGTTAGTCCCAGGGAGACCTTTGAAGACCGTTGTCGCCAAATACTAGGTATGGAAAACTATGGAGACACTCCTGGCACATATACGAAAAGGCCTGAAAATGTGCCTGCACAAAAAGAACCGATTACCGCAAACGTCACTGAGTTCGAGGTAAAAATTGAAGACTGTGAGGATGATGAGCCCAATTATCTGAATAATATTAAAGAATCAATCAAGCCACAGAAAAAAGAACCTTCGACTACATTTGATAAGCCGCAGAAATATACAAATCTTGATATATCTGATGAAGACCTCGTAGAGGAAGTAGAATGTGTGCGTACAGATACTGTGGTGCCATTTAAGAGAAGCTCTCCCGAGCCGACAGAGGCCCCTGCTAAATTTAACCGCAAAACAACTAAAGTTTCCAAGAAAGATATAAATGAAGAAGACAATGAGCACATTGTCTCCAAGACCACTTCCAAGCTAGCAAGGAAAGGCTCAAAGCCAACACCTAAAAAGGAAAAATTAGGCGATGACGAGCCAGAGGAGACTTCATCTAGTGAATCAGAAATACCCGAAAAAGAAACAGATGAAGAATCTCAGCCAGATACAGTTGTGTCGAAGAGAGATATGCGTTATACGGAAGAAATTGAAATTGAGGAGAACACAAATTTGATTGAGATCGACGAAAAGCAGCAACCTGTGAAGTCAGCTCAAAAACCAGGGAAAAGTCCAACTAGAAAGCCATCAGAGCCTGAAATTAGACGTAAAACATCACCTTTGCGGCCACAACCATCCGGCCCTTCCACAGTTACCAACACTATAGAATCGAAAACAAAAACCCGTGATTTAAATAGGATTACAAAAGTAGTAAATGAAACGAAGCCAACAATGAAATCAGCTGATTCTCCAGATAAACATTTTGTTGTCAAGAAAGATAAGCCTGCATCGCCAACAAAGCCACACACAGAACGTATCCCAAGCGGTAAAGGTTTTACTACTCCCACTAAAAAACAACAGAAACCGAATGACTCTCCAACCTCTACAATTAAGGATCGCTTACGCTCCGCCACTCGCAATAGAAAACCTTCCGAAACAGAATCGGAATCTTCTCTTGATGGTAGTCCTACTCGTCATACCGAGCGTAGACGTTCCAGTAATATTTCGGTCCACACCGAAATAATTATTGACCACACTGCACCAAAATCTCCAAAGCCTGACGAAAAGACACCTGAAAAGCATACACCATCGTCAAAGAAAGCCACACCAATTAACGCCACATCACCCACTAGGCCGTTCCGTCGTTTTCCAGTGACCGAGCGTAAAGAATCTGCGCCCGTACCTAGTGTTACACGCAAGGATAAGGATGCCAAGATGACCCGTTCCACAAGTGAGAAGGTTATGAAAGTTACTGAGAAACCTTTGCGAAAAACCGATTTACACACATTGGCACCAAGTCCCACTCCGAAAGTTGACAAAAGACCCAATAAGTGTTTCACTACAAAAACAATAAATCTGAGCACCAGTGATAAACTCATCAACAGCGAAGAAATGGAAAATGTCATAATCGATATACAACATGCTAAAAGTTCGCGTGAGCCTTCACCTGACAAAATCATACCTACACCGGTACCAGTTCATTTAGATACAGGTAAACCGCGATATCCCGATGTTGTACAAGAACCCGAAGATGAGCCACGGAAGAAACCGGTCATTACAAACATACCAATCTTCGAAGAAGACTCTAACGAATACATTCAGTGCCACATTTCAGAAGTCCAGACGAAATTGATAGATTTGAAGGAAGATGACATACTGGATAATCCCACCATCGAGGCTCCGAAAAGTCTTGACTATCCATCGATCGACAAACCTGATGATGATTGTCTTTTGAGCGTGCATGAGAAGGTTTCCAAATTCACGCATACAGCTGAAGAGATTAAAAAACCAAAAGCATCCAGTCCGTTTAGCAGAGAGTTCGATAAAACGCCACTCGTGCCGGAAAATGACGAGTGTCTACTGACGGTCGATGAGAAAGTCAGCAAGTTCATTAAGACAGCCGAAGAGGTATCGAAACCAATTACACCACTAAGAGAGGTGGAACGACCAAGTTACACCGATTTAGATGAAGAGTTGCAGAGAGATGATTGCACCTTGTCCGTTTCACAAAAAGTGAACAAGTTCTTAAGTACTGCGGAGAAATTGGCACCCACAGCGCCACAAAGGTCACCCGAGCTGGTGGCAAAGATTGAACGCACCATTTCGAAACAGAGTGAGCCGGAATACCCTGAGGGATTTAGTGATGATGAGCTGACACCGTTTTCACAGAATCACACCATCGAATTGGAGAAACGACGTCAAAAAGATATACTCTCTCGACCAAGCGTGTTTGAGAATACAACGAAAATAGATCAACGTAACAATTACACAAAGGAAGAAGTTACCACTGTCAAAAGCACAACCATAGCTTCCGAATTTGAAGAAGTAATACCGCATACCAGGGACCACACAACGAAGATTGAGTTGAAGCGTCAGAAAGATATTTTATCCAGACCCTCTATATATGATAAGAGCTCAAAACCAAGACCGCAATCTCCCAACAAACGTGAGCCCACGAGTCCAACGAAAAAACAACAACCATTGTTGACTAACACAAAGCAAGTTGAGTACACAGCAAAAAGAACAATTGCACAAGATAATGAGAAGTTTGAAAGTCGTAATGAACGTAAGCCTTCAACTCCAACAATCAAGCAGGAGAGCCGTAAGAGTCCGACAAAACCTTCTACAGTTGCCGTTACCAGATCACATTTTGAGCCCACTGATAATAAGAAAGCACCACTGAAGAATTCTATAGAGCCAAAAACGGATAGACTACCTTCTACGCTTACCAATGGTCGGAAACCAGTGAACGAACCGAAACCGATAGGTAGAAAACCTTCATCGGATTCTATCACAAATTCTTCCTATCCGAGCAGATGTCCCGCAGCACCAGCAGATCATCAATCTCCACAAGGCAGACCACGCAAGCCCGCCACAGAGCCTGACAGCCATTACCCAAACCGAAAGCCATTTACTGAATCTGAGAAAAACACACGTGATTATGAAACAATCGAATCGGAAACTGAGTTTACTACAACAACTCGGCGCCGAAGCTCGTCAAAGACAAAAGATTACCTAGAAACTGTGCAAACTGAAATCGAACGGTTTTCGCCAACTCAAAAAGAGCCTACAACACGTAAAACTCCCACACAGGAAAAACCCCAAAAACCAAAAATTCTCTCACACAGTCCTACCCGAAAAGATTCAACCAATAGCACCACTAAAGTTAATCATGTAACTGAGCGCACAATTCAGCACAATTCACCTTCAGATTGTTCTGATATTGAAATCATTGAAACTGTTATAGAACGTCCGGCACAAGTCAAAACGCCCACAGCTACAACAACACCTCTTGGGCGTACACGCATAGTACCCGATACGGTTGCTGCTCGCCGCAATATTTTTGAAAATAATACCACTCCGAAGGGGAAGAGACCAAGCGAAAGCAGCTCACCGTCACCAGTTGGCAGACGTCCCTCTTATATGGAGCACACCGTGAGCTCTCTGGAGCATATCCGGCGTGATTCTTTAGAAGTGAACAAGCATAACTATTCACGCAAGTCCTCCATTGAATCGGAGACCAATTATGAACGCAAACCCAATTCGGCGGTGAAGTTCGATGTGCCACAGAAGCCTCAACGCACCGCCAGTATACCAGAGGATATTGATGTTGAGAACATCTTCGATTTGGAAGTCTTGGAAAGTCTCTTGGAGACGGTCACCTCATATGAACTGAGACGCAGAATTCGTGCGCAAATACGTTTGGTTAAGAAAAATGCAATCAACACTAATACGGTTGACAAAAGGAAAACTGAAACTAAAACATCTAAGTCCATTAGCTCAACTCATAAAACATCTACTTACACATCAAATGTGCATCATGAAGAAACTGACACTATTAATGAGAACATAAAAACAAAGCGGCCATACGAGAGTAAGACCAGCCCAAAACGTCCGCAAGAGGGGCCAAAAGTTGGGAAGTTAACAGAAAACGGACCAGAAAAAACATCAACCAGTCTTGGCAAGACATCCCGTGCACAAGATAAACTTCGTCGTGATGAAGAGATTACAACAAAAACTTCCACATACGTCAAAACAGATAACGGTCGCACCGAAAGTCCACAGAGCCCTAGAAGGTTATCACCCATACGTCATCGTAGCCCCGAAACGAAAACTTCACAGCAAGAAGTTGTGAAAGAGCTACGGCGTACCTCGGGTTCATCAATGTCCACACATAAAGAGTACGTAACAAATGAGCAAGTGGACTATTCAGAAGAGAAATTCAACAGCTCCCGACGTGTTGAACAGCGCACTGATCGTATTCAGAAAGAACAAAGCCGTGATCGTAGTTATAGTCCAGAATCGAAGAGCCCCATCCGAGACAACAGAAAAAGTTACGACGTAAAAACCAAGACCACGCCCAACACGCGTAATAAAAGTCCGGAAGCGAGAAGGCCAACTTATCAGCGCACAGCCAGTCCGCCAGGCAGAACTCCGAAACAACGAGACGAATCATATAACATTTCGAAGGTAACAACAGTCAAGACCACAAAAACACGTTCACCTGAGCGCAAATCTAGCAAACCCAATACTGATGAAAACACACCAATTTGGGTCGATCGTAAAAATCTGCTCAAGAGTCCAAGTAGTGCGCCACGTAAAGTGCCAGCTTCGCCGTCAACACGAGCCACGACAACCAAGAGCACCACATCGAAATCGACGAGTCAACGTCAAACACAGAATAGAAACTTCGAAGAGGACTCAATCACATCCAGCTATGGCATTGGACCGACCGACGAAAATGGTCTACCATTATTCGGTATTAAAGCGTTGAAGAAGAAGAAGCCGAGTCAGCCCTGTGAAGCAACTGAAGGTAAGTTCGCGGGTGATACTAAGAAATTGAGTGTTAAATTAAACTTCTTATTTTAAAACAGAAGTCACAGGCTATGTCATCGAGGAGAAATACTACTCTGATAGCAAAACAAAGCCGAAAGTTGAACGAAAGGAGTATATTTATTCAACAAACGCAGATGAACTCGAAGAAATAAAGAAAACCATTGAGCAGAGTCGTAAGTCTATAGATGATGATGTTGAAATTGTGAGAAAAGTTGAAAGGCTCAATAAGGATCAAGTGAGTTCATTATTACACTCATCTATTGGGTATTTATGTATTTATTTTTATATTCCTTAACAGCTTTTTGACAAACCCGAAGCCATAATGCCAGATACAGAGGACTTCACATCAACATCGAGCAAATATGTTCGTCGTGGCTCTGTGAAGGAGCTGAGCGAAAAATTCATACGCAAAGAGTCTACACAATCGTTGACAGACAAATCTGGTGGCTATCCGAAAGCCGGTTTGATACTGCGTACCAGCCGTGGACCCTCAACAGAGCCAAGTAGTGGTGCGTATATTTTATACTAATAAATTTTCATATTTTCACTCCATATTGTGTCCTTATTTACTAGATGGCTATGAGATAACCACTGAGAAATATACCACAACATCCAGCGGTGGTCATGGTTATCGCTCACTTGGCGGAGAGTCCGATGATGAGCACAACGTGTTGCTGCGTCAAAACCAAACTCGTCGCACTTTTGCCGACTATGGCGACAAGGAAGATGAGCAATGCCATTTGAGTAGTACTCGTTCGTCCACCACCAAGTCGACGCGTTCATTCCTTAATAGCAGCGATGAAACGAAAGTGGTGACCAGTGTTGACGATGCCTTGGAGCGTATGCGTAATGCGGATTATGGTAAAACATATTGATATTGAGTTAAAATATTGTACAATTGTCGTTTTTAATTTCAGTTGTCGAGGTTGGCGACACGGCTGAGGATCGTGAGGCGCGTTCTTTATTGAATAAATTTTTAGGTGCTAGCGTTATAATGAAGGGCGTTGAGAGTGTTTTACCTACTTCGAAACAAACAACAACTACTACCATTACTAAAACTTCTTACGCCGATGGTGATGACGATGGCGATTGCGATCTACTCAAGAATAAAGCGGTGAGTTGATAAAATTAATTTCTATAAGAGAAAAACATTTAAGTTATTTTATGGAGAGCAAATATTTTTTTATCTTATATTATTCGCATAATGAGAAATTTATTTACCAATTTCTCTACCTTCTCCGAAAAGATCTCTCTCTCTCTCTCGCTGTCTTTTTACAAGTGAATTAATTTGAGTGAATTTGAGTGATACGAAGTTAGAATTCTCAAAAAATGTTTTATATAATTTTTTTAGCCTTTTTAGATTTAAGAGGGGGCTTATTTGGGCGTGCGGTTTCAAAAAGAAATATATTGCATATAATTTAATTTTTTGTCCAAGAATTTAGCTTTGTTATAAAGATAAACGTTTGCCATTAGGTTTCGAAATAAATAAAGGGCAAGTAACCGCGGCGGCTGGCTCGGGTAAATTCCTGTCGAGAAGACCAATTTTCGACTTCGCTAAATATTTTCTTTCAATGCGTGAATCGTCTCGACTTCACACAACCTTACAGATATAGTCAAGGGTGTAAAATCCCACCACCTTGCAGGCCCCGCCACAAGCCAACGACGCGAGATAATGCGCTCACTCAAGTAAAAATTTCCTTCAATAAATTGATTGTTCAAATGGCTGTATGGCATGTAAGCGCGTCTTGGCGCTTCTAATCCACACCCTCCCATGCACACACAAAAAAGTCATTAATCATGGCGTTTTCCAATAGATTGCGAATTTCTATCGCCTAGAATGTGACAACTAGTTTTGAGCTCATCCACCGAACCTGTGACGCGCTTGGTGCTCGTTCGCCTTCTAGGCAGAGTTGCATTTTGTAAACACGCGAAACAAGTTTCTTCTACAAAATCTTCCATAAAGAGGATGGTCACAGCAGCAATAGTTGCGTGCGATGGCAGATGGACTCATTCGGTTCTTCTTCGGGTCGGTGCGCGTCTCTGAGGATGTGGATTATTCACTGGAGCAAACGTGATGCGAAATGCATTATGTCGAAAGAATATTAAGAGCAACGCGCAGGGGATGCCGGCAACCGAAGTATTGTTCGGCTAATAAATTTGCTCTCCAAAAGATCAACTCCGAAAAAAACTACACGTCTAAAAGAGACACCCTATAAATATTTACATTTAGAACTGTTAGATTATTAATTTCGGCCATCTACATACTGCTTAATAGAACCCTAAAAGGCATTAGAGAAAACACAAAATATCACGGCTCTTTTGGCTTACCTCCCACAATATCTGCTCTTTCGTTAGCATTCAATTGCTCACCCAGCGCATGCACCAATTGTTTATAAACTCAAAAAAAAATAAAATAAAATATTCCTTCGTATCTACTCGTACATACATACAAACATATATATATGTATATTCCATATATTTGATGTATTTTTATATTCTTAAATATGTACATATATATCTACACTTTTGCCGGATGCTTGTTGTTGTTGTATACTAACAGCTGCTGCTAGCCAGCTTCCTGCAACAGTTTGTGATTTTAGCTAAGTTAGTACACACTCGGAGGCGGAATCGATCAGTTGTATATTTATTTGAATTGCTTAAGGCGTTAAATTGTCGGAACAACAGTTTTTGTATAAGTAAATGAAAGTGTATGGAAATTCAAATATATATGATATATATGCACATATACATATAACAAATTGTTAAAGAAGTGCATTTGAAATAATGAAACGATTCCATTATATATGTATAAAATAATTAAAACAATAATATATATATATGTGTAATAATATAGCCAAAATTTATGAAAAAGTGCAAATGTGCTGTTGTGAAAATGTGAATTTTCTAATGAAAAATATACATAAATACATATACTTATGTATATTTCAAAAATATTATTTAATCATTCGTCAAAAGATACACACATAAATTCTTCGACATAAATATGTATATAAGTGTATAAATAAATATATATCTACATTGGGAAACTTAAATGCCTTTAATGAGTTACACCTTTGTGGACACCATAGCATATGTATATATGTATGTTTGTATGTGTATATGTACATATAATATATATGTTTACATATACACCTGAGTTGGCTGAATTCTCAGCTCCTCTCGACACCCATTTTACTCTACGAAAAAGCCACAAAGCGAAACAGCCGCCGAAACGGTCTAATACGAGACAAAAATAGCCATGATCACACTATTTTTATGTCTGAGAAAATTTTTTCGAAAATTTTAAATAATTACTTGTTTTTTTTTATAATTTTTTGGATTTGTTGTAATTTATTTGCTGTGGAGAAGGCAGCAGATGGACATGCATATATACAAATAGTACATATACATACACTATGTGCAAGAAGTTCGTGTTTTCAGGAGTGTTGTTTGGGAAGCGATTAATAACAGCATTTCGTCGTATCGGCAGTGTTGCATGTGAAAATTATAAACATTTTGAACCCAATTATTATTATTATTATTGTTTTTTTTTTGTTTGACGTTGTATGCACTTCCTGGAATATCTCAGAGAGAAAAAGTTCAAATTAGTGCTGCATATATTTTCCGCAGCGGTGTGCACACATCAAAAATCGTTGATAATATATGTTTTGTGCGTTTCCAAAAATAACAAACGTCGGAAAACTTTCTTCAGGAGAATTTCAAATCTAGTCAGTTCATTTTCTGCCGTTGTCGCTGCCAGTCAGTGAGTGTTTCTTGTCTTGCGTGGAGCGTGAAAACGGAAAATCGCGCGTATAAAATACATATATAAAATTAATTGTATCATACATAGTACATGCGTACATAATATACAGCGAACCAAATATTTTTGGATGTGCTTAGGAATTTTATGCAAATACTTAGGAAAAGAAAATTTTGAAAAATGTAACTGAAATAAATAAAAAAAATTCGAGTAAAAAATAGAATATCAATTTTTTTTAGTGCAATCGGGAGTACATTTAATGACACATATATACATTTATGTTGCCTGTGCATATAAATGTATTAAATGATTATTATACATTTTTTAAATAATTTGATACCAGTATGAAATAAATATTATATAATATAACTATAAAAGCTAAAAGTGTAAAATTTAATATAACAAAATAAAAAATAAGCACTTAATTGTGGTAAGAAATAAACAAAATAAAGTTTTAATCACCCAATTATAGAACAAAATAAAATTAATTGCAAAGTTGTGCAACATTATATTATTTAATACTAAAATTAAGTGATAAAAAGCTCAAAAATTAATTAATAAAATAAAAAATATTAATGAAAATTTTTCCAATATGCAACAATATAAAAATTAAAAATAATATAAAATAAACATAACATAAATATCGAAAAATAATATTTATTTAGAAAAAGAACTAAAAAATAATTCGGTCAGTTTTTTGTGTTCCAAAAATTGTTTTTCTTCAATTGGAAGAAAAGCATTCAATACTTATTCAAAATATAATCTGCCGAAAGCGACTAACTTTTGCTATCTCTCTGGTAATTTTCGAATATGTATGTATATGTATATTATTGGCGCTTTGTAACCGCTTTAAGCAATTTTCGGCCGAGCTCCTCCTCCAATTTTTGGTTTTGCATCTTGATGTTTTCCCAACAAATGGTGGGACCTACAGCTTATACTAAGCTGCCTCCGAATGGCGGATGGTTTTTTATGAGTAGCTTAATTTCTTGTCATGCCGAGTGGCGACAGCAGTTAGAGAATTTAGCTTAATTTTTGATTAAAAAAATTTTTATATAACTTTTTGGTTGTTGGTACGACACCAGGACTTGAAACCCGGAAGGCTTGGTTTCAAGTCCTGGTTTTTTCCGGCAGTGCGTAATGTGAACCACTCGGCTACCGCGGCCGCCTCCAATTAAAATAGAAAATCACAAATCACTTGTTGTTGTCGGAAATAGATGTGAAGCCTTTTCATTGAAATATGTAATCCCTTCCAAGATCAGCCGCAACTGCAAGCAGAAGGAGTCATTTTATGAGTACGCACCGAATTGATTTGCACATTCAATGTATAATATAAATAATTTTTTAAATAATACAAATGAAAGTAAAAAAAAAAATAAATACTTTGTATGCTTTTGAACATCAGCGTCTGCATACTTATATATGTACATACAGTTGCATATATGTATATACTTGTATAGCTCTAAAGGTATGCACTTAGCTGAGCTAAAAATTCAACGGTGCATTTCTATTTCTATAACAGATAGCAACGACGTGTGATAGTGCAACGGGCCAAAAATCTTAAAAAGAAATATCTCAAAAAACAGATAAAACAATAATAACTCAAAAATTAAATAAAAACAAGCAAATTAACGTACAAAACCTAAAACACAATTTTTATTTTCGGTGTTTGTTCGGCTATTTTGAGCACACACATCGAACTAAAATTTTTTTTTTTTGAAAAATTTGAAAGTGTTGCAGTGGCTGCTGGTCTTTTAAGTTCCCGCTGAAAACGCATAAGGAAACGTGCGCACGCATACACACACGCTCACCTAAATACGCACAGATTTTGCGTAGAGTGTGCAAAATACTTACATACACGTACATATTCCGCCGCGAGTTGGTGCACTCAAAACAATTTAGGCCGATTCCGCTTCCGTCGCTAAAACAGGGTAAGCATTTTTTTGGGTTTCTTTAGTTTTAGTTTTGGTTTATTAAGAGGAGTGTTGAAGAACTTGAACGCAAATAATATGTATGTATATATTTTTTTTTATATATCAGGACATATATATAGTGGATATACATATATTAGTAAGACAAATAAATTTATTTGTTTTTTGTTAAGCACTAGTCGCTCACATACATTCATATGTACAATACATATAATATTTTCTTACTCAAAATGCTCTTTTTTCTATACTCAAAATACAATGCTCATTTAAAATACTGATTTTAAAAAATTTTAAGATAAAAAATCAATATATTTAAAAGTCAAATTAGTCGTTGGAAATGAAAATAACTAATCCAACTTGGCTTATGGCGTTGCGCAGCTGACTGAAATTGTCCTTGAATATAGTTTAGTGCTGTCCAAATGAGTG